CTGCCCAAGTGCAGCACCCTGCACTTGTCCGTATTAAAACGCATCCTGTTCCTGTTAGCCCACCCCTGTAACCTATCCAGATCCCTCTGCAATCTCTCCCTCCCTGCTAGCGTGCTCACCTCCCCCCAAATTTTGGTGTCATCAGCGAATTTAAACAGGTTACTATCCACCCCATCATCCACCCCCATCTTGTGTAGACACAGCCTAGGATAGTTATTTACTTGCACCTGCTATGGTTATTTATGATCCACAGGTACAAAACATCTTAGGTATGATAGAATCAACATGGGCAAAAGCAAGAAAGGGAACATGGAACATCAGTCAGGCTTGGGATGCTAAGTATAGTGGCTCTCTCTGGTAGATCATCTCTACACACTCAAATCCCATTGCAACTGTAGAGTACCATGGGGTAGATCCTGAAAGGTACTGAGTGTTTTCAGCTTCCTAGGAACAGAAGTTGTTGAACATCCAAGGAAGCTGCTGAGTTTCCCTGAGGATTGGTCCACAAATAAACTCAATTCCCAGGAAGGGAATTCAGCAAGACAATCAGATTCTTGGCCCACACTGACCTACTATTTTTATCTTAAATATATTATCCACCTCCCACAGCTGTATTTAGGGGGTCCTAAATATGGGCTACATGGATACTTGAAGATAGTTAATGCTTTCCTAACTTGTTTTTCAGGGGTGCTGAGTATCACTGACTAACATTAGAGTGTGATGTGTCCAGTACTTGCTAAATCAGGACCCTATTATTTTAAAAAAAAGGAAATAAGATGTGAGTGACTGAATACAGACCATCTCAATGAATGTAAAAGCTTGTTATTAATATGACTTAGCATTGGTTTGAATAAACAATATGGCAACAATCAGAAGTGAAAAATAATTTTTTATTCCAAACATTTGACAAGAAGTATTGATTTTTTTCAGAGTTTTTTTGCTTACTAAACTTGAATACACATAATGGAAAGAAAATGCTGAGTTAAAAGCCTTACTGAAGGTTAATGCATCAGTAGTTCTACTAGATTTACCACAAGTTGTGATTCTATAATTGTTGTGCTGTTTTCCTTTACAGAGATGCTCATCCTTCAACAAAGTTAAGTGTGGCCATAAACAGGGATGATGTGATCAGCAAATAAATAGGAGAGAGAAAAATGTAAAAGCATCCATTTCTAATATAAAATCTATGTTTAGACTTTACCCCTTGCATGTAACTAAGGGCCTTAGCCAATGCCCAATGAAATCAATGCGAGTCTATTGACTACTGTGAGCATGGCATAAGACAACAGAGTTATTAGCTTATATTGATTGGGATGCATTCATTTTGTAGCAAAAATTGCCTTCATCTATCTATATTACTGTATCTTAGAAGCCTTTAATTCCCTCATTGTAAGTGGTTTACAGTCTCAATTTTCACTATGACTTTTGGATTCTTCTCCTGTCATATGGTGTGAACTTGCATGTGCTTATGTAAAATTCAACTGGGTTGCTTCATTTAGAAAGAAAGGCAAGCTGCAATTAGATTCAACAGCAGAGAACAAGCAATGCCCTTTACCTTCCCAATGTCACTGTTAGGTTGCTAATCTGTCTACTGGTCTCTGAGTAACTATGTCACATATTATGCACTAAATTACAACTTTTTCCAGAAGGCACTGAATATGAAAAATGTCATCATGAACCTATATTTTTCACAACCAAAGGATGCTTATCTTTGCAATTGTGAAAGAGTAAGGAAAAGAAAGGTAATGTTGCAAAGGGGGTGCAATTAACAATATCATTTTACTTAGGAGAAAAACCAGGAAAAGTCAAATTAGGCTTTTTGCTTCCTGATGAGTTTATGCTTTCCATATATTATATTTCTGGTTCTGTATGTCAACATCAATGTCTTTGTAAAAGCAATGAAGCCAAACTTTATAAGTGATTTTTAAACAGCAGCTCTATATTGACTGCTTTGTGTTGGCACTTTTTTTTTTTTTAAATAAACTATTACCTTAGTTTTAATCTTACTTCTACTTCATTGTTTGCATACATTTTGGACAGTAAAAGTTTGTGCATCTTGGTTTACAGTAGGTTTCATAGATTTCTAAGGGCTACTTCCCTCCCTTTTTACAAAGGTTGTTCATATTTTAAAGAACTTTTGGAAGTCTGAGGGTCAGTTGTTCTAACCCAGACAGTTTAAAATTTATTTGACTTTGTGATTTACATGCTGGAGTTAAACATGCATGCACATGCACATGTTTACATAACAATGGCCATATACAACTACAGAATAAAAATTGGTCCCAGTACAGTTACAAATAGGCCAGTTTGCTTAAAAGTGTTGCTTTCTGTGTTTCAGCTTTAAAAAAGAATGCCTGGTTTCGGAAGTCTGCACTGTTCAGTATGTATGGTCCATGTGTGATCACAGTAAATGTTAAGAGGTATGAGATGTTTAAAAACTTCCAGAAAATGCGTAACACAAGATGCCCATACAGTAGTCACCATTAAGATTTTTACAGCCTCAGTTTGCAAGTAATGATAATTTTGGCTGTCTTCTTTAAAGAAACGTGAATATCACAGTTAAGGAAAGGAAAGGTAAAAAACTGTAAAGATATTAATAGTAACACAGTAGAAAGGTCAGCAAGTGGATCACATTTTCATACAAATGAGTTTGGTGTATTTATTGCAATGTGGTCATTTCACCTATCAGATATACAGATGATACAAACAAAGGAAGTCAAAGGTATTAAGAGCCTGATGATACGTTTAATATGCACTGAAAACTACCACAGAAGAATATGGGTAATTTGGGGTTTAGCCAATGCAAGATTGCACCTTTAAGGCCACTACAAAAAACTTTGTTTCTTTTTTGGACTTATTCAAAAGGGTACAGGTTTTCCACTTATTTTCTTTGGCTTTTCAACTAGTGCCCCTTACACCTACATGACTGCAATACAACACAAACAAAGAAGAAACACCCAGTCAAGTCCCCCCCACCCTCCAAACAGGTAAAAAAATCAAAACACTGGCCAAAATGTGTAGATGTTGCTTCATTATACATCTATGGTGCAAAAGGATGTTTAAAACTGATAAGACTATAAGAACTGCAATGGCAACTAGAGATTTATACAACAGGTTTGACTTGAATTATTGCTTATCCTGCACCACAGAAAAATTAAAACTGAGTAGGCACTTGTTTCATTGTGTAGTAAGAGAGCACTCAACATGAATAAAGGCAGCAGCAATGTACCCCACATAAATGTTCTCTAATGTAGCAATTGTATTGCTCATTTACAGCCACAGCCCCTGATTCAGGACAGTAATAGAGCATGTGCTTAACTTGAAGCATATGCTTTACACCTATTGATTTCAATAGGATTTGACTATGTGCTTAAGTATTCTCCTGAACTGGGATGCTTTCCTAAACTGGGACTCTAAAACACAATATTGTGGTGAGCCTTTCTTGAAGTACTTCATACACCAATGTTAACCAATATGACTCTACTCTCCACCTTAACTATCCTAACTTCCCCTTCCCCAATTCTTTAATACACAAATGGGCTTTACAATAAATAGAATAACCTAAGAGTATATAATAAATATGCTAGTAAATGGGAGGAAAATATATTGCAACATAAGGCCCGGTAGTGTTGCACTATGAAAAATTACTTCTAAGTCTTTCAGGTGCTCTAAACACAGATTCCAATGTACAGCACATAATTACCACTATACAACAGAAAGGGATCAAAAAGAAACAAGATAAACTTCCATTACATTGAAGGTCTGAAAACAGAAGAGTGGTAAACGCACAGAAGAGTTTACATGTTTTCCACTGTCTTTGCATAATTCCTCATCTGTTCTTCCAGTGCTCCAACTTTGCTTGGTTGTAAAGCACAATTTAAAATTAAAGACAACTTGTAAAGATAGAATTCCTTTTGATTCACAATTTACCAGAGTCCATGTCAATTAGCTACATTTTCTTTGGGGGTAAAACACATTCAGAAATTCTGCTGCCTCCGTTTCTTTGCATCCATTGCATCAAGGATAGGTTGCCTCTTGGCTGTGTATCTTTGACGAAGCTCTTCAATTTCTCGTTCCATCATGGGGTCCAGAGCTTTTAGCCTCATTTGTAATTCTTCTAAACTTAGGTTCTTTAACTGTAAACCAAACAAACAAAAGAACATGAATAACCCCTATCTAATACAATTACCTCTAAGAACAACAAACATGCTGGTATCTTTTCTTATAATTGTTTAATTTACCTTTCTAAAGTGTAAAAAAAAAGGAAAAGCACTCTATACCATCACCTGGCCATCACAGGTCTGGAAACATAGCGGCCGGGGGTAAGGAGGGAGTGGTTGGCAGTGTTAAATGCTGCACTCCTGCTGCTAAATTTGCAAACTGGTGGGGAGACCTGTGGATCCAGTGGCGTGGACCTGCATACTAGGTCAGGCAGCAAAGGCCAAATGCCTTGGGGTGATGCAGGGCCCAATCCCAGCAGACAGGGCCACAAAGGGTGTGGGAGCCTGATCTAGCCTGCAAACTGACCCTGCATCATCATCTGCCCCATGGGACCAAAAGGTTGGGCACCATTACTCTATATAAATAACATACCAGCATGGGAAAAAAAACCCAACCCTGCTTACACGTGATATGAACCCTGGAAAAAGATCACAAATAGATATGTGGCTACTGTTATATTAGTTAGGCTCCAAAAAGTAAGCATGCCAATTTATTGGTTTAATTATATGGATATTATGGTATCCTGGGCTATTATGCTATCTAAGCAAATACAACTTGTTGATTTTTAGTCCCAACTACTAGGATCTATACATAATGCTATGACAGACCTTTGAAGGTATTTTCTGAAAAGTATTATAACGGTCTTAAATTATTCAGTGGATCACTGCCATACCTGCTCAGCAAATTGCCAGACTGTATAAATACTCTGTGAAACAACCACCTGAATTCATGGAAAGGAATTAGTAAGCAAGCTGTTTTCTTTCCAAAAGAGCAAATTAACATTTTCACAAAATGTTAAGCAGTTCATTAATTGCTTAGAAGCTATATACAAATTAATAATAATGAGACTACAAAGAAATTGACTAATTTGGATGTTGGTTGCTATGAATAGGCAAAGCTGCATTTTTGCCAGCCAATGGGCACTACAGGCACCACTTCCCCACCTGTGGTGTGGGAAGGAATCCATGGTTTCAAACCTGAAAACAAATGACAGTGAAGTTAATGTTTATTGCTTTATGTTGCCCCAGGTGGCAAGGTACTTATTAAGTCCTTTTCGTGTTCCAACAGTACTTCACTGATTGTGAATATTATCACCAAAATTCATATGGCAGAAGGAATTACATAAATTATCCAAAGCCGCATCTTAATGAAGTTGTATCCATACTTTGTTGGTAAATATTCAGTCATATTAAACAAATATAACACCTAGCAATTGCCTCCATCAGGAAAAAATGAAAACAAACTTTCTGAATCAACCTGCTAATGAGTCAATATTGAGTTCATGAATCCAGGGCAATTTTCCATCAACGCAGTCTGATCCATTTTCCTTGGGGAATAAAATATTACTTTTGAGCTCTATTTCTATCAGCATCTGAAGCACACAAATTAGTAACCCTGTTATTACTATACACTGTCCAAATCCCTGTTACAAATAGTACTAACAAACTACATCATACATAGTAGTAAACTAAAAATTGAGTGTCAGAACTTTAATTAAATACAGAGAAACTGAGATCAGGAATTCATTAAAAACATTGACAGAAACCAGAGACACTTAACAAGAAAATAAGCAACTTTTTGTGCACAACTGTTTTCACATTAAAGTTTCTTGATATTCTTTTTCACAGAAAGAGCAACTGATTACAGCAAAGCCAGCTGCAAACTCCACACCTACAGAAGGACAAAGCACCTTGTGTTAGTATAAAATTAGTACAGTTTGCCATTTCTTTAGAGGGCACCAGGTGTAGGATACCTGTAGCCTTAGGAGACTTCCAAGTAGTTGATAAGGAAACAGTTATGAATATTAGGCCTCTGCAGGAAGACATGTTTCTGTTTAGACAGAAGCAGGCTCTGGGTGTAAATAGAGTATACACAAAAGTAGCAAACCCTTCTAACTGTAAGCCTATTTCATGTAAGGGTAAAGTTACAGTGATTTAGCTCACTTGTGAGGCTCTGAGAGCAGACTGATATAACAGTTGCATCCTAACAAATGATATTACGATCCCAAGTAGCAACTGCTTTTGCCCTTTTAAGGCTGTTGATCATAATGTTTGTTCACATCCTGTTTCATTCTTTCATCGGTTGTTAATAGCACTGGTATATTAAAAGCACATTTCAATACAGATATTCTTTCAGGGTCAAGCCTGGAATGGACATTTTATCAGAGTGTATTTACAGTACAGTGTGGAGAGCTTATCATCCAGACAGGCTTGCCAAACTCACTCCTGTGAACAACAAGCAGGAAGGAGAGCAATGAGACCCACTGGTTTTCTTTATCTCAGGACAGTACCTGATGAGGTCTTCACAATCAACCCTGGACCTTCACAATCCCTCTAAATAATCATTATAAAGACACCAAGAAGATCTTGGATCCATGTATGTTTATGTATGGTTTGAAAATGACCAACTAATTATTCTGTTTTTTAAAAGATTTTGTACACGTAGTCAGAGAGGAATGTGATGGGTACTTTTTATCTAAATTTCAATCAAGGAACAGAGCCAGTAAACAGAACTGAATGCACATTAAAGACCATAGACAGATGGGCTGGAAACTACAGATGTAAAGAAAGTGAATTTCCAGATCCAAAAAATGAGGAATGTCAGAATGATCTTAGTCATGTCACCCAAGGGATCCAAGCTATTGGAATATGCGTCTGCATTAATGGATACTGCTTTGGATATTAGAAGGAAAAAGTAAATAAACAAAAACAGGCCACTGACAAAGTGAAAAAGAGACAAAAGATTTTTTTTTTTAAGAACATCTTTTGCCTGATACCAGGTGCATGGAGACTGCCAAGGCCAAATAAAAGATATTGTATTAGTGCAGGGGTTGGCAATGTTTTTGGACAATGTCCCGAAAACACCCACAAACTCGGCTTGTAAGATGTTGGTGTGCCGGAGCAGACAGTGGGGGAGGAGCAGCAAGAGGCCTGATCATTGTTGTGGCAGTGCAGCCCCAGCCCCTCCCTGCCTTCCGCCTCAAGGTGCGTGCGCCAAACAAAATGCCTTCATGTGCCACACCCTGGCACCCATGCCGGGGGTTGCCTACCCCTGTATTAGTGTTTACAGGACTCTACAAAGACACCACATAATTAAGCCATTACATCCAACAGTGGTAAACAGCATTCTCTCCCCTAATAAACTTCCTTGGTTAATTCAAAGATCATTATTTCTTAGGCTTTATCCAGTCCACAAATATTGCATAGCACAACTGGCAACCTACAAAGCTCAGTGGTAGATACAATTTGACACAGATTCAAAATGAATCCCATCTATACTATTATGCGTACCGCATGCTGTCTCCGTTAGTAAGTATGAAGCCTCACTGCGATAGATGAAATTCTTTGGAAAGGGAGTTGGGTGAGAGAACCGAGTTCACCGATATGTGCCTGTGGGTGAGCTGCTGACTGCCAGCCAGGCTTATGTGCAGCATTACCCTTCAGGCTATTACGGTACCGAATGTTTTAGTAGGGGGTAGCCGTGTCGGGTTTGTTCTGGGCTCTTGAGCCCTACTATATATAAGCCACGTTTGGGCAGTCAGATAATGGAGCTGTATGTCACAATGCTCCTCTTTTGCAACCCATCAAACCCAACAGGACTCCTTCAACTTCACATTGATGCGATGGTTGATGACTTTGACCTTTGTACCAAACCAGCTTCACTGTCTAGTGATGTTCTCCATGTTATGGTTGTTTTTGATACTGAGAGACATTTAAACAGCCATGACAAAGAGTTGAAGGATTATCACCTCCCATCGATAGGCCATGATCCCAAACAGCAAGCTTGCTCATTCTTGGAAGACATCCCCACTCAACGGCTGTCAAATGCATTAGCAGAGGAACTGTACTGTAACCAGCAGGTGCTCAAGATTCACTGCCATGTATGCTTCCAGCTCAGCAACAAATGGTGGTTGCAATCTTGAAAGCAGCAGAAA